AGTGGATTGCGTTCGGGGAGGTTCCTACAGGCATCTGCCCTGCCTCTCGCTGGTCCTCATGTCGTCATAAGGAGCGTAAGTGCTGACTGATCCTGGCCTGCCTGTTCACCTCCAGGCCGTGCCGAACCTCCAGGCCTGTGCTTACACAGCTGGCTGATTCATAGTGCTTTTATTTGTATTTAAGCTCCTTTATGAAGTGGCATCCTCACAATGCCTTCCCTGTGGCGAGGACAGACCATTCTGTGTCTGTCTCCTGGCATCTCTCGGCTTGCTGTTGTCACCGGCCTGCGCCTGGCTCTCTAAGCATCGCGTAACGTGGGTCAGCCCGGCCGCCCGTGGCGACACCTTCATTCCGGGCAGCTACGCGCAGGTGTGCGTGGGTGGGTGAGACCCCACGGCCCCCTGCTCCGCTGGCCTGCACGTGAGGTCACCACATCCCGCCTTGCTCAGCCCTGGCCACGCTGTGAACTTCCTCCAGGAAAATCCATCGGCATGCAAATGGGATGAATGATTTATCATAAACACACAAAGCCCAAATGAGTGATGTCATGGCAGTGAATTTGCCTGGTGGGAGTTGGATAATCTGCGATTGCATCTCTCCCCCACGGTCCCCATTCCTCTTTCCCATCCCCCTCTCTTCCTCCCCTCACCTCACATTTTTGTGTCATTTTCCCCTCTGTGGTCTTATTTATCTGTCATTCTCACCGGAGCGTGTAAGCGCACCCACACAGACACAGGAACACAGACACACCTGTTTTCTGTGAGATGGGGGCTGCTCGTCTCAAACTTCTGTTCTTTTATCTTCCACCTTAGAGATGTGAATCGGTTTAATTGACGAAAGCTGGTTTCGGAGTGAATTATTCCTGGAGCAGTCTGAGGTGATATGCAGGAGCCTCTTGAGGCATTTCTGACCGCGGTATCGGAGTGACAAAGGCTGCAAGATAGAGGTCCACATGCTCACCTCACTTCAGAGGGGGGAGGAAGGAGGCGCCAGTCGACGGGGGGCGAGGGGGGGATTTTGAACTGAGCCGGAGACAACAGGGTAGTAGAGCAAGGAGAGGTTTTGAGAGCACGGTGTCCATGGCAACCAGTTAACCGGGGTGTCCGGGGTTTTATTCATAATTAAGAATGTTTGTGGAGCAGGGAAAGCTGCCAGGAAGCAACTGCTCCGCCATGCCTCCATCAAAACCTTTGCCGTACTTTGACAAGACATCAGCGTGTGTTGGTTTAGCTGTCTGAAGTGTATGCTGATTGGGGGAGGGGGAGTGCGGGTCTTTCTGCCGGGAAACAAGAAATAATGAGAAGCGCAGGCCTGTGCAGGAACGCTGCGCGCTGTTACACTGCACGTGTGTGTCTGCGCTCTGCATTAGACGGCCGCTAATGTGCGAAACGGCTTGATTTCTCCCGATCCTCCGCTTTCACCACCACACCGTAAACACTGGCCGCGTGCATCGGTGCAGAAACGCGGCCAGACTGCAGAGAGTGTCACGCTTGGAGTGAAACCCGAAATGCGTTTCACGGCAAGAGCGCATTCTCGTCAGCATGCTGACACGGCGTGGAGATTTACCTGCTCTGGGGTGGGGATGGGGATTGTTGGGGGGGGGGGGGGGGGGGTTTTTGGGGGGGGGGGGGAGGCGTTCTCAATGTGTCATGCCACTCTGAGAGGCATTACTTGTGGAAAAAAATGCATTAGAGATTAACGGCTTATAAAATTAATGTGGAAGAAAAAAATCTATATTGAACAAAACATTCTATGAATTTTTAATTAGGAGGCAATTTAGAGCAGCTTGGTTAAGAGGAACTAATACAGGCGTGTCGGGGGGGGAGGGGGGTAATAGTGTGTTGAGGGGCCCCAAAATGGAGGCAGGAAGCTACAGCGGTGTCATGCCAGGGGGGGTAATAGTGCGTGAAGGGGCCCCAAAATGGAGACAGGAAGCTACAGCGGTGTCATGCCAGGGGGGGTAATAGTGTGTAAAGGGGCCTCAAAATGGACGGCAGGGGGCTACGGGGGTGTCGTTTTTGGGGCATGATAAAGGAGAGCTGAAATAGAGGTGAAGATACCATTGTGAGAAAAGTGTAAAAATACTAGACTTGGGGGGGTGAGGGGTGACAGGTCATGTGACTGTTACATCTGTCCACCTGCTAAGATGGGAGTGAAAACACGGGTGTTGAAAGGAGCGAGACGTGTGAGGAGATATGAGAAGACCTTGTGAGGTTCTCAGTGTGCTGCAGGCCGCCTCTGCGGAAAGGCCACCACGCCCAACACCCCGCGCTGGAAATAGCGGCCTGTCACACAGCAGCATAAGATAATGCAAGGCTGATGGGAAGAGAGATTTCACAATCCATTCCCATACCTTCTTCGGTTCTGTCTGTTACGCCGTAGTGGAATTCACTGGATGAAATGAATTTTTTGAACGTAATTGTTTGTATTTCAGACTGATTTCTCTTCAGTGTGGTTGGTTACCTAGTTTCAGTCCCGTGAGTGAAATTGAGTATCAGTTTTGGTTTTCATATGTATTATTTACTGGCCTGGTTTCTTTTTTATATATGTGTTTATTACCATTTTTTATCAAATGATTTGTATTGAATTGAATGTAACTGGTAATTACTGGCCCATCCTCTTTCCGCAGGCCTCCAGGAGTCAGTGATGTGGGCTGTAAAATTTCAGCTCATTCTCAGAAATAATTCATGAGAAGTGTTTTTCGTGTCAGGTTTCTCCCTCTTGGGTGAAGAAAAAATAATAATAATAAAAAAAAAGAACCTATCAGGCCGGGAGCGGCGGCTGCCTGTGGCTGGTGTCCAGCAGCTCGTTAGCGGAGCCAGGAGCAGCCGGGCGCTCGGCTCGGAGCCTCCATTCAGGAGGATGCTGCTCGGATCCGGGGCGGACCGAGCTGCACGCATGGAGAGGTCTCCTGCTGGGATTTCCGGCCGTGATCTAGTCGCCTGTTGGGTTCTGCTCTGGGCTTGTCAGGCCCTGGTAGCCTGACGCGAAGCCGCTGATATAATGGGCGCGAAGTGTTTTCGGCCGCTTTTACTTAGCTAGCGTCTCCTGAGACATTTCATCCCCTCCGTCCTAAGCTGTTGCCATGAAGAAGATCCACAGCCGATGACGTGGGAGGTTCTCGGACACCTGTCGCAGAATTTATTGGCCCCGTCATCCATTTTGTCAGTAATTAGTGCCGTGAAGATGTTTTTCAGTCATAATCATTGGACGATTCGCAGTTTGTCCCGTCAGACAGATGGGGGCGGTACCGCGTGTTTTTATGATCGTGTGTGTGTGTGTGTGTGTGTGTGTGTGTGAGGCCTGTTCATGGAGCCAGTCACATCTTGGGAATAATGACGTGGCTGTCACGTGATCCGGCCAGGGCACGTGTGGTCAATGTATGAGCAAACATGTCCCAAAGTCACCCTTAATTACAACCACCAGGTCTCGGCAATAAGGTGGCGTGTTACACGCCAGTGATTCTCATACAGTCATTACACGGAACAGGGAGAGCAGTCAGCAAACACTCTGGTCACAAATGTGTTCAGCTGTGACATATGGTGTAGCAATATGTGCCCCTTTGACGGAAGCATTGTGAAATCCTGCAAACACTCACTATTAAATCTAATACTTAGGGACCAAGCACAGATACTCAATACTTACTGTAGCAGTCTGTGTTTAATATATGGCAAGATTTATGAAATATATTGCATTATTCTCAGCTTTAGTATTATAAACATCATGAAATCAAAAAAATCATGATATTCTAAGGGAGGAAATAAAAAATATATTTGTTTATGAATTTTTACAAGCAGATTCCAGGCCTGTATAAGATTAAACCCAGCCTTTGAACGTCTAACTTCTGTGGCCTTGAACTGAAGGTTCAGGGTGAAGTATTTCTCGGATTTTCTTCTGGTGTCTGTAGGGATGCAGGCCAAGGTCTCGTTGTGTTGGGAGTCGACATGAAATCCAGTTATTTAAGGATTTAATTGGCTGTGACAGTTAACATTAATGTGTGTATCCCAGCTTGCTTATATTCCCAGAAAAAGCAGCCAGGAAAACTGTGTCCTGGAGGACCTGAAATGCTCTGGAGGGACCCTGGGAGTGAGCTCTGTAATTATGATGTTTCCTGCGGGAGGGTTTTTGGTGTCGTGCTGCCCCAGCGGAAAGGTGATGACAGTTCTCATGCCATGTTTACGGCTGAACTTGTCCGCGCTGACACTCAGGTTCCATCTCGCCATTAAGGTCTGGGGGAGCCATTTTCAGGGCCCGTTTGCAGTACTTGCAGTACCTCCATTAAGGAATGGTGTTCTTTTGTGCCGGGATGTTATCTTAAGGTTTTCTAGTAACTCGAGCAATGGTGAGGTCCAAATCACGAGCTGTCCTACATTTCTTTAACACCTGTCATGGATGTTTCTACCAGAGATGACATCCCCCCACTCAGCCCTTAATTGTGGATGATAATGCAGGATCTCGTTAATGTCACTGCTGTTAATGTGTTCTGACTCCCCGGTCCCCACTGCCAGTCACTCCAGCCCCTCAGCAATAAATGCCAGTATGTGGTGGGGGGCATCTTGCAAGTAACGGCACATCCCTTGATTACAGTACTTGATGTGACCGAGGAACCGTCTGGCCTCCTTAAGGTGTCCGGAGGAGTTCCCAGGTTGGGCTCCCACATTTCCTCCGTGTCCATGTGTGTTTACCGCGGATGTTTCAAATAGTTATTTTTCTTTGCATCCGCTGTAGGAGTTGAATAATTCAGGTAAACATTGCAGGTTTACATCCGTGTTGGGGGGTGGGGTGGGTGCCAGACATTTGGTAGGGTACCTAATCCAGTTGAAAATGTGACTGTAGCTATTAGATAATGTACCAAAATTAGTAAAAATAAGCGAGAAATCTGTCTGCTGGGTGATGAAATGTCTTTCTTGTTGATGTGTAAGCGCTGTGTTTGAATTGGTCCTTGAATCCCTCATATGTTTGTTGACCTTCAGAATCTCACTGCGTTCCTTGTCTTTAGGGTCCAGAGAGGGTCTTCGTACAATTCAACCACCAGGAGCTGCTTGAGTTCTACAACAAGGTCAGTGTGAATTAACCATACTTCTGTGACTTGGCTGCGATGTGCGGACAGCTAACGTTTTTCTTGCTTGTTTTTCTTTTTCTTTTTCAGCTTGAGATCATCCAGGCTCAGCTGGATTCGCTCACCTGATGGCAAGCATTTCTGTTCGGGCGTGAGGAACCACAAACAAATTGCGTGCTTGCAAGGAAAAACAATTTGGCCACCCTGCCGATTTTTTGATACAAACTTAACCGTCAAAAATGCCAGTCATGCCATCGCCGTCTCTCTCGGCACAGATACCCACTGTGTCGTGTGAATTGGAAGGCGACGGTACACCATGCCTGTCTACGCTTCCCAGGGAAAGGACGGGGAGTCTGCCTGTTATTTCATTCGCTCTCTGTATGAAACAGTTTTGCTTGGTTTGTATGTCTCTGTATATCGACCCTTAATCTAACAATGCAATGTAAATGCTGGAAGCTGGACATTCCTATTGATTTCCACTGGCTACTGCCTGGTCTCAGCTGTCCAATTATGGTGCCTCATCTCCGCTGTCGGTCTGGCACTGCGGACCATTTCTTCATCAGCCGCGACCATGTCCATTGCATGCATGGCCCTGGTCTTAAATATCCCTGGAAAGACCTGTAATAAGCATATTGACATCTGTCTGTGCAGGGAGGAAATTAAGCAGCTCTGGAAATGAGATGTGATTAATTACTGATGTGGAATTTTTGCTGGATCGTTTGAATTATACAACCTTTGCAGTAAAATTGTTACATTGATGTTAGGGAATAAAATTTCTTATAGCAGAGGTACATGCAGACCTTAAATGAGTCACTGGCACAGAAACCAAAAGCACCTTTGTTGGTGACAGGGACATGGGACAGGGACCATGACATATGGGACATGGGGACAGTAGGCACAAAGCATAAGATGGGGGACATGGCATGTAGGACATGGGATGGGAACAGTTGACACAGGGCATAGGATAGGAACATGGCATATGGGACACAGGGTGGGGGTTTGGGTACATTGTTTTCCAGTCACAGAAAGATTTGACATTCAGTACATGTACCTGTCATTATGAATGGGAGATTACACAGGAACAGTGGGATTTAGGGGATGAGGGAGATGTGGTACACAGTTATGGGAGAGGGACCTAGGGTGGGGGACATTGGTGTAGCACAGGGGACAAAGGACATGGTACAATATATGGGAGATAGGATGGGGACAGTGACATGGAGCGCTGGACACATGACATGGGGATGGAGAGAGGGGATGCAGGATGTGGGGCCTTTTAGCGTTACAGAAGCAGCGTGTCAGGTGGAGGAAGTGGTAAAGAAGAGATGGGCCTTCTTTACATGTAGAATCGTCTATGTGTAAGTAAATCCAGTTTAAACTGCTTCTGTTGGGCTGATTTCCCTTTGATTCCATGTTCGGGTTGGTTAATTACTTATAACCCCCCGTTACTCTTTGTGTGGGTATGTATATGTACACTCAGTGACAGAAGAGGTTAAGCACCCTGAAGTAGTGGTCCGATGGATGTGATTTGGGAGATATGCAGACCAGCGATGGGTATATAAATGATTTTATTTGCAAGGAGCTGGTCATCTAGTCACCAGACACAGAGGATGCCTCGTAGACGCATTAGACATCATTACCAGCACTTGATGGAGTTTGATAGGGGTCGCATTGTAGATTTGCACCCATACACGTCATGAAGGTTCCGGTCACCCAAGACCGACCACACCAAGGGAGGCTCATCATATTGGGTGCCAAGCATTACAGAACCCAATGAAATCTGTGCCTGCCATCCAGACACAGGCTTTGGACTCTCCATGACACCCCATGTCATCCCGCACCGAGTCTTGACGACTGGCATCAGCCAGAATACGGGTTCACCGTCCCATACATAGGCTGCCGTTAACACCAGCGCAGACGGCTGCATTTGGAGTGGTACCATAACTGGGAGACATAGACCGATGATGAGTGGTGTCGTACCATGTCCAGTGATGAATCTGTTCTGCATTACCATGGATAACCGTCATGTGCGTGTATGGCAGTGCCAAGGGGAGAGGACCAACCCTGCCAATGTTGCAGAGAGACACACCGGCATTACTCCTGGCATCATGGTGCGCGGAGCCATTGGGTATGACATCATGGTGTGGGGAGCCATAGGCTATGACATCATGGTGTGCGGAGCCATAGGGTATGACATCATGGTGTGCGGAGCCATAGGGTATGACATTATGGTGTGGGGAGCCATAGGGTATGACATCATGGTGTGGGGAGCCATAGGGTAAGACTTCCGATCATCTCTGGTAGTGATTCGGGGGACCCTGACGGCACAGTGCTACGTCAGTGACATCCTGCGTCCACATGTCTTACCCCCCCTGAGACAGCATCCTGGTACGGTCTTTCAACAAGACAATGCCCGTCCCCGCATGGCACATGTGTCTATGGACGGCCTGCGTCATGTTGAGGTCCTCCTGTGACCAGCCAGGTCCCCCCATCTTTCCCCAGTCGAACATGTGTGGGCTCAGCTTGGACGTCAAAATATATATACATACACACACACACACACACACACGCTCTGCAAGCCCTATAAGCAACTATCCTGTCAATTCTGTGATGGGCCTGTCAGGCATTTTCCTAATTGCTTTAGAAGCCACTGAGTTACTTTCTTCTGAAAACAATTTAAATGCGCCCCTGTCAGCCGCCTGCCGTTTACTGTGTCACCGGCGACGTCGCGAGACTCGTCGGCAGTGGGTGCGCTTGTAGCCGGGGACACGGCACCTCTTAAAAGTGCCGCCCATCTGGCAAAAGGGCCGCTGTTCTACCTAAGTTACAGTTTTTCCACCATTTGGGAAAAACGGGAAGAAGAAGCACGGAGCAAACTGGTCGCCTGAGGGAGATGCTTGTGGCGCGTAGCCGGCTAGGGGACGGGGCGCGGAGCCGGCTAGGGGACGGGGACGGGGCGCGGTCCCGGCTAGGGGACGGGGCAAGGTCCCGGCTAGGGGACGGGGCGCGGAGCCGGCTAGGGGACGGGGCGCGGTCCCGGCTAGGGGGCGGGGCGCGGTCCCGGCTAGGGGGCGGGGCGCGGTCCCGGCTAGGGGACGGGGCGCGGAGCCGGCTAGGGGGCGGGGCGCGGTCCCGGCTAGGGAACGGGGCGCGGAGCCGGCCTCCCCTTTGCTGCTGGTGCATTATACTTGCATCTCAGACCCCGCCCCCCGCCCCCCGCACGCAGACTTGGTGAGCACCCCCAGTAGAGAAACACTTAAAGTGCTTCAGAATTGTTATCTAATCCTTGGCTTCTTTTAAAACTGTTTACTAACCAAATACCAGAGAATGAGAGTCGGCCAGCCTGGGACAAAGGCCTTCTCAGCCAGAGTGACAATGGGACCCGACCACAAGCTGGACCAGGGATCCGCTCACCCCCCAGGACCATCGGGCTGTGGGGGGAGCTCCTAATGAATCACTGCATTGTCTGAGGGACATGAAAAGCGCTGAAGATCAAAAGCTGCATCACCGCGGTAACCTTGTGGTAAACTCTTCCCTATTTGTGCCCCCCCTTCTACACACTCCATATTGACGCTGCGGAGTTCCGGATGAACAGATAGACCCCCGTGTTGTTGGTTTGAGCCGTCTCCGAACCCGAGCATCAGCCTTGGCTAACCAGAAGACGAGCAGGAGGAAGGCATTGGGGGGGGGGGGGCGCTCAGTACTCAGCTGTGTGAGCTTGCTGCTGGAGTAGGAAGGACTGTTTCTTCTCCAGCGGAACTGCAAAGCATGCAGGCTGCAATTAGAGCTCCTGTCTGCGGCACAGCAAGCTTTACATTCAGCAAGGTGGAGGAAATGGAAGGAACATGTGGGGTGGTCTTTGTGACATTGTGGCTAATGTCTCAGCCTCCCAAAATCTCCACCAGGTCTTAATACAAAAGGCAGCTTGTTTGGTTCTGATGACTTGAACAAGGCTCGGTAAAATGTTAGAATCCTATAATGGACATTCTGTAGACCTGTACTCCAGTAGATGCCTCTGATTGCTATATGGATCGTGACAGCTGCAATAGCCGGTTCTCTGTGGGACTCTGCTGCCTCTCAGTAATATCCCTTCGCTAACAGATGATTTACTTGTACCTGGCTTCTCCCTGGCATCGCTCGTCCGGCTCGGACATTGTCCCCGGTCCTTTCGGTGGCTTCCTCACCCCATTAGTGTGACTGAGCACCATGACGCTCCTCCTCTCAAACCCAGCTGCTCCGAGGCTGTCCCCCCCAGGGGGCACGGTGAGGGTGGGCCACCAGACGCCCAGCCACGGCGCCTCTGCTCTTGATAGCGCCGGTTCTCCATCTCCGTTGTGGGCGTGTCTGGACTTGAAAGGAAGGATCGGCAGCGGCAGGCTCTGGAGGGGCTCTGTCCACAGCGGGTGTCTCCGGGGGATGCTGGAATTAGCGAGCCGGCCCTCCCGTCGATCTGCGCGGCTGCAAACCGATGCTCCGCGTTCTGCGTTCCCTCCTGCATTGTTTGCGTAATTACACTGAAATGACAGTATAAAAACACACGGTATAATCATCCGCTGCTTTTAGTGTAGGTGGGTATAATTCTTTGGTCCCCAGGAGGGAAATTACTGAAATTACTTAGTGCTGGTCTTATTCCGCTCTTTCCCTGGAGGTAAGAAGATTTCCGAAGTTTTTGACACGGTGCTGTCAGCTGGCAGAGGAAGGCTTTTCTGTGAGATCAGTCCTTAAAAGCCGTCACCCGTGTCAGAATAACTTAAGTCAGTTGGCTGTCATTGCGCTAGCACAAGCCATATTGAAAAGAAAGGGTGGACAGACACCTTTCTAGATGAGTCATGCTTTGACAGGTATTACGTTCAATGGTACAGCTGAAGTTCCGCCTCTAGGATCTGAATCTAGAACCTGTAGTTGCTCTATTACAGTTCCCTTAGTACTAACTGAGGTTTAAATGGGAATAAGCAGGTCACTGCTGTATCTCTTAGCTGTTAACTCACCGCTGTGGCCCCATTAGTGAATATGTAATCGGGAACTCAGGGGGGTCCTGCTCTTCTCTGGAAGTTCCATCAATCACAGTCCCTTCCAGTCGCTTACAGCTGGCTGACCCTTCACAAGCTCAGCATTGCAGCATAACAGGAGGCTAAAGCGACAGCATCCACTGGCCCAGAACTGCATTACTATCAGCCTACAGATATATCCCAAGCGCCCCATGGAAGGGTGACATCGTGGACACGAACGGTAACTGTGGATGCAGGCTTCGGTCACAGGCTGGCCTGCAGAACTGACTTAGCAATGGACTTTGGATTTGACCTTGACCACCGTCTACATCTTGCTTTTAGCAAACAAGCCCGCTCCCTTTTTCTATAATGTTAGCATGCCTGCCCTGGCGGGGGGGGAGGGGGTGCCGGTTGACCTTGGACCCGATGTATTTTTTCTCCCTACTGGGGGAGTTTTTGATTCCTCTCTTGCATTGTCATCTGACTTTCTTTCTTTCTTTCTTTCTTTCTATGTCCTGTTTCCCTGTTTTGAATTATTCTGTATAAATGATGCAGGGATGTATCACAACACCCCCATATAGAGCACCTTGGGGTGACTCTGCTGTGAAAGGTGCTATATAAAAATAAATTGAATTGATCTGAATTTAAATGTTCCCAGCTCTGGCAGACCCCACATGAACCAAAGCCAGGAAATCATAGTGAGGAAGTGAAAGACTGACCTTTAACCTTTAATCTCAGGAAGAAGTTGATTCTCTGGACAGAGCTGCACCCCTCCCAGCAGCATCATGGATTTGATCTCCACCCAC